TTCAAGATATTCATAGTTTATTTAAATTTAATAAGTTTATGCTGTCATTCGTGCGTAATAGGGTGAAAACATGCGTGATTATTTCAAGTATTAGTAACTTCTCAATTTGTACCCCACAAGTTTTAATGTGCAGTGTTGCTTTTAGCAACTTTTTCATTCAATAGCTGATCGTTTGATGAGCTTTTCTTATTTCGTGTTAAAAGTATGAATCCATGCAAAGGTTTTAAATTTGTTCTTAAAATATTTCTTTCTTCATTAGGAAGGAGCACGTGCCTTGAACCTGTTGATAGATACAAAAAAATTACCCAGTCAATAGAGATCTATTCAATAACAATCGAAATCCGCTTTGTCATTCCCTCATGTCACAAGGGATATTTCTACATCAAAGGAAATTCAAAGGAAATCCTGTCTGAAATTTAACACCTCATAATAAATTCCAAAATTTTGATTGTGTTCATGTGTAAATGTCATTGTAAGCGCCCATTTGGAAATGTCGGAAAGTCCCGTGAATCTCCCCCTTGAATTATTTTAAGTTTCAATTCCTAGGTTTAAGGGAATAATTTTAATTACGAAATAGAAAACTTGTCTGAGAGTGCATGTTGTGTGGGTGCAACCAATCAGCACAATGAAGCTAGTAGTAGTTGAATGTTCCAGAGCATTGCGGGCAGTATACGAAGGGTTGCCTATACCACTCAGGCGGAAGAACCATTATTACAATTTGGCAAGAGATTCCGAAATTAATAAAAAAAACTTGCCCAGAACTGTTAAGATTCGCCCGGCGCAGCCTCTCTGATTTATGTCCATGCCGTAAGGACGAGTTACGCCTTCCTTCCTAGGGACGCGGGCCGGGTCCGCCCAATGGCTAGGCAACCCATCGCTCATCTCATGACTAGTTTTCGAGCGCGTGCTAGTATCACATACGTTACTGCCCCAATCTCCACAATGTGCACTCCCAAGACATTTTTATATTTTAACGTAATTAAAATAATTGTCTAAAATTGTTTTTATAAGTAACATAAATTCAATGGGGGACCCATCACTTGCTGACCCAGTCCGTTGAGCCATTATTGTATTTTCTCTATATCGAGAAACAGTCTCTTTGCCTAAATTTTGATTTCAGTGAATATGTGCTTTAATTCAAGAAAACGAAAACCAAGAATCATATTGGTCTTTTATTCACAGGCCGTAAAAGAGAGGCCAATTAAAATTTAAAGTTTTATGACATTCATTAAAGCCAAAAACGTGTTATCATTTAATGTGCTCACCAAATCGGCACAACAACTGGGGTGGAGTACTGGTTACTACTGTTAGTACTGGGCGTCACACACTCTTTTTGTGACTGTGTACCCCCAGTAAGAGTTAAACCCGTATTCTCTACAAAGTTTACCTCAAACTTTTCAGCTGCCTAATCAGACTCATTTTTACACTTACTAGATATTAATTTCATTCCAGACAGAGTAACCTAGATAGTGCAATTAAACAAGTAAAGAGCAGGATCACTCCCTACAGATCCATTCCAGAAAGTTACATAATATAAAAATTATGCGTCATAGACAAAATGATTCCTTCATGATAATATTTTAATCTAGAACTTTCATGTTTGTTAAACACTGATACCATAATAGTATCCTTTATAAGAGGCCAAAATCCACAGGTTTGTTACTAAACCCCTCCCTTTAAAAAAAAATCCTTTCAAATTAATATGTACTAAAATATTTAAACACCAATGTAAATCCTTCCATCATTTAATTCCTGTAACATTGTGCTCATCAATTCAGGCAAAGATAACAGCCACATGTAAACAGAAAATTTCATCAATTTAAAATTGTTTTACATTATTAAATAAAGCGGCATGAAATGTGCCACCGTACTTCTCGTGTTCAAACCCTATCACACACAGCCACCGCCATGAGCGGAACCATGGCGACTCGAGCCGCATGCTGGCCCGACGGAATAAAACGCTCCCGGGCGGCTTGAGATCGGATTTAAGTAGTCAACAAGTCGTTCAGACGCGTTGGGGTTCTCTCAGGATTTCGCGGCCAATGATCCGAAAATTTGGGTTATATTTTGACTGCAATCATTAGTTTCGAAGATATATCAAATGGGAAATACGCCAACACCAAAGTTTGCGTTTACCCACGCCGTGTAAGTTTGGTGACGCTGACACACCGGAAAGAGTTTAAAGCTTCACCAAGACCAGCACTGCTTGTTCTTCTTAGGGATCGTCTAGAAAGTGCATCGGTTTCTTAGTTTCATTCGACCGTTCGGCGAATTACGAGAGCTCAGCGCCTGCGAGACTTAGGGTAGGCCACGCTGCAGTACACGCATGCCCAACATATAATATGTTGCCTACCCATCAGGCGCTGTGAGACCTTCCATTGGCCAAACTTAATTATTTCGTAACGGCAGATGACTGATGCGCCTGGGGTCGTCCATGTCGTTAGTAGCTACACAACTTCTTAGCTACAAAGTATGGTGCGATGCGGTGTGTAACCACTTAAACGTCTGAGATACACATGAAAATGGTTGGCAGATGGTAATGAATACTAAGTAAAAACGGTAACAATTTTGCTTTATTAACTTGCAGCTTTTAACATTAAAGAGAAGACTCCGTTATCAAAACGAAGTAGCTGAGATGGTGATCCGTCTTCGATTACTTTTCCGCATTCAAGAACAAGAATTCTATCGCAGTCAAGCAGCGTGGATAGGCGATGCTGAAATTTATTAATTGTATAATAAAAGGGCTGTATTTTTTGTAGGCCCCGGCTAGCGGCAACGCGGTGCCCAGACTCTACTGTATAATTCAACAAATGTCTCACCGCGATTATGATGACGGTCCGATGCGCGAACGCACTCAGGGCCACCGAGAGGAAGGCCTTCTCTGTAGCTGGATCCACTGAACTCGTAGCTTCGTCCATTACTAGAATAGCGGCGTTCTGGAGGATGGCCCTCGCCAAACAGAAAAGCTGGCGGGTTCCGACACTGAGGTTTTCGCCACCCTCTTTCACGGCGCTATCTGGAGGAAAGAATGACTTTGTAGCCGCAGATACATGACAATGGCATCACTCAGATTTAATTTAGCCAAATATAGATTAGAAGTATTTTTGCCTGCATACATACTTAGGCCGCCAGGTAGATTTTCAACCACGCATTTTAGTTGCGCCAGCTCAAGGCAATGCCAAATTTTCTCGTCCGTGTACAGACGATTTGGGTCTAGGTTGTCACTAGAAACATTATCAAGAAAACTATTTCAGAACAAGTCGACAGTTTTTTTGTATTTTTGGAAGTTGTGACAATTTTGCAACGTTAAACGCCTACCGAATAGTTCCGCTGAACATGACGATGTCTTGGGGAATGACGGACAGCCGTGTACGCAGCAGCTGCAGCGGGAGCCTCGAGATGTCCACGCCGTCCAGGACGATGCTCCCCGCCGACACGTCCAGCATGCGGAAGAGGGACATGACGAGGGACGACTTGCCGCTCCCGGTGCGCCCACACAGGCCGATCTGCGTTTGGTCATTTAGTGGTTCATGAATTAAGAAAAACTCTGTAAAGAGTATGTCGTCCTTCGTTGGCGTTGGCGTTGACGCTCGCCGATCGTCAGTATCGCCGGTCATTCAGACTCACCTTTTGTCCCGCTGGAATGTGCAGGTTCATGTTCCTGATGACTGGCTCTCTGTTCTCATCATACCGCAGACTGACGTTCTTGAACTGGATGTCACCGTGCTCGGGCCACGAGGGCGAGACCTGCATTCCTACAACCAACGTCGGCATTTTCGGGCATTTTGTTGACAAACTAGGTAGTCTGCAGACCCCTGACCATTTTGGAGTTGTACTGAATCCGTAAGAGGCGTGTTGGCGGGCTTGCCGACCGTCACTAGTCGGGTTCTTTGTGGTCCAGCAACCCGCGCAGACTCTCGGATGCGGCACAGCCAACACGGTAAAAAAAGTTTCTTGTATTTTAAGACCCGGTCTTGGATCTTATGGAGAACGCCACTGGCATCCAAGACCACGTCTTGAATTACAAGAAACTATTTTTACCGTGAAGGGTCTGCGGACCTGCTCTCAGTAAACTAGGGACCTACACACATCATCTCCCCTTAATTGGATACCCCTTATTATTTACCTTTGTTGTTGTAATCCTCTCCAGGCATGTCTGCGTATTGCTGTACCCTCTCTACTGACCCCATATACATTTCAACATCAGCAAGGAATTTAACCACCCAGTTCAAATATATCGGGACTAGCAGAGTGTAATTTATAGCCAGTCCAACCAGCGACGCAGACACTACACTTGGGTACATTTGAGCCGCTATTAAGGAGCCCATCACTGATATCAGAACTATTGTACCTCCCATGTAGTCCTGAAATCAGATTGAAGAAGAAAGGGGTATACCTATTTCACAAAATTCGCCAATTTCCAAAAGGAAAATGTACCGTGTGTTCAATCTTACGAGGGCTACGCCAAGCCACCTGTTGGCTGCGCTCAGGACAAGAAATGTGTTGTTGTTCGTGTCCATCTTGTCCAGCATAGTCTCCATGAATCGAGCTTTCTGCCCAAAGGCTCTGATAGTTGCTAAGCCACCCAATGTCTCGGAAAAGAACGATGAAACGGGTGCACGCGTTATGCTATCCATCCTATGGAGCTCCCTTAGAAAAAGAGAAGCGGGAGTTAAACAAGCAAGCATTAACGGAGTTCTTTGCCTCTTTCGTTCAGTCCACTTCCGTAGTTAGAAACGGCATTGTGCCAGTTTCGCCAACTACTTACCGAGTTGAAACTCGGTAGAAATGTTGAATAATGTAGTAGGCAAGACACATGGGAAGAGCCGGGAGTAGAAACCAGGGCGAAAGTATTGCGTTCACCAGCACCGCAGAGAGACATAGGGACAGAAACTGCATCAGCCTCTGGATGGATGTTGCTAATTTCTAAAA